CCCACTCTGCCTCCCAGGCAGGCACAGGGCTTCAGGGCTCGGTCCTCGGGGACTGAGATTTGGGCCTCAGCGGGCTCAGATTCCTCTTCGATGAACCTGGCTGAGGACAACAGCGGCTTCCGGCGGCCCGAGAGCCAGGACAGCAGCAGCCCAGATGTGGGGGGGCCCTCAGAGCTACACTTTCCATCCAGACCCCAGTCCACCACAGAGAGCCATGAACCCAATGCCAAAGCCCACGCAGGACCCCCCCCCCAGTGGGGCCGGTACACCTGTCCCTGACCACATCACCTTCATTCTAATTCTTTATGATGTCCCTGCAGCCCTGCCCTTGCCTGGGCCCTCACTCACCAAGGACCTCGGCGTCTCCCTGTGCAGGTCTCCGTCAGCTCTAAGGGACAAACAGGGATCAGGGCCCTTTCCCAAAGGCCTCATGGCCAACAGGGCCATGGCTGGGGGCCTGTACAGGGCGTCAACAGCACATCCAGACACACTTGGAGCAACACACGGTGCCAAGCAAAGCCCCAGGCCCTTCCCGATCCCACCGCACAGTGGGGCCAGGGGACCAAGGTCCTGCAGAACAGTCGGTCACCCTAGGAGGGCGCCCGTGTCCAAATCCCCTGACCCCAGTGAGACCCTGTGCCCAGGCACACACGGACACCTCAGGTGGACCGCACCTCACGTCCTCTGCCCAGGGAACCCCAGCCAGCTGCCTCCACCTTTACTCAGCAGGCAGGTGAGTGTTTCCTGGCAGCAGTCTCCCCACCCCAAGCATGAGGGCCTTCGATTTCCAGCCAGGGGTCCTTGAAAGGTTCCTGCCCTGGTATAAATTACTGTACAGTTATGGCAGTGGTCTAATGTCAGAAGGCCAAAGCGGGAGCCCCTACCACTTCCCTTCCTCCTCAGCCCTGATTGCAACTCCCCTTCCTGTCTGTGCACCAAGAAGAAAACTCCAATCAGCTCCTAGCACGTTGGCAATGCCTGCCCTAAGCGCCACCCCCGGTCAGAGGTTATATGTATATTCCATGCCCCGCGTTCCGGTCAGAGGGCCATCTACAGTCACAGACTCCTTTCTGTGTCCTTGGAATAAAGGCTATTTTTCACTTTATAGTCTCTCTTTTACCGCGCGGAAAACTCTGTCAGTCCCAAACTCCCAGGATGTTCTTTACCCACGTCTGCAAATCTGATGCTGGAGGGGGTGGGGTGCCCAATTCTCAGGGCAGCCGCTGCTTCCTGGGAAAGTGGCAGCGGCTGACCCCTCACAGTGGCTGCAGTCAGAGACTGAAGGTCAGGGTGGGGCCCACAGCAGGTCCCCCACACAGCCGGCCAACTATCCTGGTGCCAGAGGCTGGCACAGCAGACCCTCCTTGAGGGACCAGCAAACATCCATGAATCCAGCCATAAGAAACACTACAGAGCTGCCTGCTAACAGTGGGTGAAGGTTTAAACTACTAAAGAACTCTTTACTCTCTCCTTAGAAAATGTCGTTACCATTAAGTTTAACTCCAGAATTAACTAAGCATTCTTGTCTACTTTGAAGCCAGCAAAAAGAAATTTATTCCGACTGGTCACCCACTATCGATTACAAGGTGTCACGCTATACCTTGGAGTGACACTGCTGGAGAGAACTGAATGTCTGGGAAATAAGCCCGTCACCTTCCGACCTATCAGCTCCAAGGGAAGTCCAGGCTGATTAGACTCCAGGTGACCGAGGGGGACACAGACGGATGCCCGCTACTTCACTACCCTTCCAGGAGAATCCAAATGCCTGTTCCCGGGCAGCTGCAGTTATGATCTCTCACCAGATAACTTTCCGAAACAAAGCTGGCATCTGGTACCAACTTAAAAACCAGAGACTGCTGCCGTTTGGATCTGCAGTGTCCCCTGGAGCCCAGGTGCTGAAACCCCGATCTTCAAGGCTACCAGGAGCAGTGAAAACTGTAAGGCCTTTGGGACATCTCAGGGGTGGGGACAGTGGGGCCCCGGCTCCCTCCTCTTCCTCTCTCTGCCACGTCCTGGCTGAGACACAGGGGTTTTGCCACATCAGGCCCTCCCACGTGCTGTGCCGCCTCACCACAGTCTCCCCAAAGCTTTGGGCCACCCAAGCCTCAACAGAACCTCCCAAATAACCCTTTCCACTCTAAGCTGACTACCTCAGGTGTTTGTTACAGCAGCGGAAATCTAACAAACAGACTCAAATGTGCAAATCACTCACTGTGCTGAACACCACAGGTGACCTTGGAAAATGCTGGAGCAACCCCGTGCTGGGGTATACCAGGGAAGGGCCCCGGCTCGCAGGCTGCAGGCTCACTGAGTGCTCCAGTGCTTGGATGACCCAAGAACACAGCAGCTCTCCAACAGAGCCTCTGCCCTGCAGTCCAGGTGGCCACCACCACAGCCCACTCCATGACTGTCCTCCCTCCAGTGGGTCCTCCCAGGGAAGAGACAGTGGCCCAGGCCTGCACATGGGGGCTGGGGTCACAGAGAGGGCAGTGGAGACTGAGCCAAGTGTACCCACAGAGCCCTCGCCAGGCCACCTTAGCCAACAGAGCTTGCCTCCCACACCAACGGCAATGCCCCTCTCTCCCAGGTCAGACCCTCACCTCAGATCCAACGGCAAGCACAGCTCGGACCACCCAGCACAAGCACAGCAGGCGCACCTGCTCGAGCCCAAGCACCACTGCACCCTGTTCCTGCCGACCTCACACACGCTCTTATCCATTTCCTCAGCAGCTAATTAAGACCAAGACTTAGAGAACCAGCTAGAAGCAGGAGGGTGCAGACAGCGGGGGGATGAACACAACAGGAGAGCCTGCTGCCCTGGAGAAGGGACAGACACAGAACTACAGTCGAGCCCAGCCACAAAGGGCGCGAGCCCAAGCCTCCCTCTGTGTGTGGGAACCAGGCTGCAGGGCTCGGGTGAAGCTGGCACCCATGCTCCATGGAGTCCCTGGCGGTGGCTTCACCGCCCCGGCTCTCCTGCGAGCTGGGGTCACTGGCCTAGTGGAGGCCCACTGCACCAGCACCAGCTCCTGTGCAGACCCCACAAAGCTGTCTCCCTGTGCTCCCTTGAGCTGTGACAACACACCCCACTCATCTGTCTACTCTGGGCATGGGACAGGGTAACAGCCTTCTGCAGACACATGTCCACGAGGATTTCAAGCTGTTCCGGAAGGGGTTAAGGAGTTACTGAAACCTGTAATGGCCGAACTAATAATAAACTAACTAATAATAAACATCCCGGTTTAGGGGAGAGTAACTGCCCGATTGCTACCCTAAGATTACTATGTGTTTTCATTGCCAAAAGATGCAATACAATTTCACAGCTACTTGGCCCTGCAAAACAGAAATACCCCCAAATTTTAAGATACGAAAAGGTTGATGGCCAGGGTACTGTCCATTCAAGAATGAGGTCATGGACAAATGAGTCACTTCATGACCAAATTTAATTTCAGGGAAATTAACTCAATAAAGAGGCCATAACTGTCCTCCGAGTTTTAATCCCTATGAAGAATTTCAGGGAAGTGGCACAGCCCACGGGTGAGCTGATTAGTCTCCCAGCTCCTCCAGGTGCAGATGCCCAACACCTACCTTACTCATAACGGGCCAGTATCACAAGGAACTCTGTTTAACGAGGGGCCTGGGTCTTGAATAGCCTCACCAATCACAGACACGGAAAGTGTTCTCAATTGACAGGATATTGGGTTTTGTTTCCTGTAATCCTACAGCCAGCAGATCAAGGCTGCGAGGCTGACGGCCACGTTCACCAAACAGCCCCAGGTGAGACTCAATGCCCTGGCTGATGTTACGGGGCAGGGGGTCGGCAGCTGCCGAGTACCGCTAAGGCAAAGCCCACTGAGCAGGAATCGTTGTGAGCAGCATCTGACGGACACAAGTTGCAGGACGTCCACACACGAGACTCAGGGCCAGAAACACCCACAGCCACTGTGGGCACGAGGCCAGCAGAACTGTCCTGTGAGATGACCTCCTGGAAACAGGCTCAGAATAAAGGCCTGCAGCATGGCAGCCCAGTAGCACCCTGTCCTGCAGGAGGTGTGCACCATGCAGACCACTGCCCCTCAGAGAAGGGCGGACCGAGAGGACAGCAGAGGCTCTGGCTGCTCTGGCGACTCCCGCCTCTCACCACCATCTTCACAGCTCTCCCTGCGCACAGCCCCACGCGGGAGCATGGCCCAGGACCTGGGACTTACACTGCCTCACACAAGGACTGGAGCTCAGAGCTCCCATCAATCGGCCTGGCTCCCAGCACCCACCTCCTCAGGGAGCACCCTTTGCAAAACCCACATCCCGCACTGGACCGTGCTCCTCCAGGGCAGGAAACAGCACTTCCTCCTGCAGCACTGCAGAGGTCAGGCTTCTACCTCCCACTGCGGTGCCCGCTGTCGGTAGGTGAGAGCGAAGGCTGCCACCTAAAGCCCGCAGCATGAGCACAGCTTCTGCGGAAATCTTGAACAATACAAAAAGGTGCGAGAACAAGCAACACTCAGGGAACAAGGGCGGTTGTTCCAGAAAACTCAATCTCCTCAAGAAATGAATTTCATCAAAACTAGTGGGAAGCAGAAAATTTCGTATCGCGCTGACTCCATCTGCAGTCTCTTAGATCGTCGTTGTAACTGGAAACACAGACAGCGTGTGGGCCCTGAGTGCAAAGCGGAGGCAGCAGGAGCCCAGCCCTGTGGAGCATTACTCACCCCACTCCTAGGACCAGGCCCCAAATGCAAACTGCTAGCGAGCCATGGGGACACGGTCACCACGCCACAGGGTGAAATCCAGAAGCAAGGAGAACAGCATAGAGCCCTCCTCCCTGACCTACACACGGCAGGTGACAAGGAGACCAGACACAGACTTGCAAAGGGCCATGTCTGAGCTGAGGGCACGCTTTGAAGGTGAGATCGGATGCAGCACAGTGCAGAGCAGACCACAGCAGAGAGGACGGGAGGGCCTGCCCCCAGGCAGGGGCTCCCCCGGGCCGGGGCGCTCACCTGGTAGGTGTCCCACAGGCGGACGGTGCAGCGCAGCGGCAGCTCCCGCATCAGCAGGTTGTTCATCCAGCGGAAGGCGAACTGCAGGTAGCGCACCTCGTGCTGGTTCAGGTGCTGGTGGACGGGCTCTGCATGGAGCAAACACAGCCGCAGGCGTCAGGGAGCCTCGAGAGGCCCGGGACACATAGTCACTGGTCCCTCAGGCCCTGTGCCCCCCTCAGAATCCCACCTATCACTGGCATGGCCAGAGCGCAACCCTGGGGCCAGATAACCAATGCACTTCGTAAAGGCCCTTCGGCTCCTTCTCGGTGAAGGGGATGAGCGATGGGGGAGACGAGGATCCTGACAGGCGAGCTCTGGGCTAGGGCTCTCCGCACCTGCAGACCGCTGGGCCTGGCAGAGCAGACATCAGCGACATCGCTCCCGGAAGCAGGAGCCCACATCGGAGCAAGGTCTGTCTTCCCATCAGCTGCTACAGGCAGCAACGCCTAAGGTCCCTAGCCCCGCCTCAGCCTCCGCTGCTGAGCCACGGACACGCGCCTTCCAGGGGCCATGGGCTCTGCTGGCCAGGTGACCACACTCTGGTTCCCAGCACTCTGCCTCTGCAGGGCCAGGAAGGATGATGCTGCCTCCTTAAAACAAGCCAGGAGGGCTCAGTTGCCCAGACTACCAATCCGGAGGTGGTTTTCAAATCAGGGCCCACCTGGGGCTGCCAGGAGTCCTCTCCGAACACCTCTTCCCTGCACAGCATCCCTTCCCTCCACACCCCCTGTGAATGGACCCTGAGAAGACTTCAAACCCCTCCCCCCATGCTCCCAAACACAGCACCGGAAATGCTGCTGCTCACTGCTGGGCTTTATGCAGATCTCTGGCACCTTACAGAATCTCAGAAGTGAACCTTCCTACCCCCGAGGGACGGGACTGGGAGGCACCCTTTCAGACGCCACGGCCTTGTGCAGGATGTGGGGGGCCTCAGGGCTCCAGGGCTGAGGTGGCTGGAAGGAGACCTGCCCATGAGATAGCAAGCCCTGCCAGACTGGCCCCAGAAAGCAGGGCAGCCACTGAGTTCCAGCACTGTGTGCCCCCTGCCCACCTTCTCCTCTAACCCATATTGAATGCAGCTGACCTGAGCGTGCTGGGGTGAGATCCCTGCAGGCTGTGCCCCTGGGGTTCATGCGCTGAAGCTCAGGCCACTTCCCACAGAGGAGCTACTCTAGTTCTCCCCGACCTTGCCTGGTCCTCAACACAGGGCTTTGGTGACAGGACAAGCCTGGCCTCAGCTGGCCTTCCTGCCACCTGTCCTCAATGTGATCCCCATGTCTTTAGGGGCTCCCACCGTGATGCAGGTGTTGTGCCTTGAGCCTCAAGAAGGGCATCCTAAAGGAGCCCCTTACCAGCATGCATTAGGAGAACAGAGATGAACCCAGGAGGGTGTGGAGTGGTCACCTGTCACATGGGGCACCAGTTAACGCCAAGGAGGTGCAGCAATGCAAGATCAGTGCACAGTAGACGGTGGACAACTGTAGACAGGGCTCCCGAGAACACCGAAGGCGCTCTCTGACCTCCCACGGCAGGCAGTATGGGAGCAAGGCTCAGGGGAGCCCATCTGGGAAGCCATCTAGGAGGCTCCCTGCATTGGGCAGCCGGGGACTCACACCTGCTGCCCCGCCACCATGTGGTGCCTCTGCAGAAGCAAACTCAGAGACCAGCAGCCCGACCCAGCAGAGTAAGGCCACATCCATGTGCCGAGCCCAGAAGGGTGCCCCGCCCACACAGCTGCCCAGCTGTGCCCGCAGCTGCCTGATGTTCAGTGCTTGCCGACAGCAGTCTGTCCTGGTTGCTTTATCAGGATGTCTGCTACACACCCTGCCCACATGATGGTGACTTCCACGCAGGCAGAGGGGAAGGACACTTGCCTAACATGTTCGAGGCCCTGGGTTTGATCCCCATGCAGAAAGAAAAGAGAAAGTGAGAGAGAATGTGAGAGTGGGAATGGATGTAAGAATTATTTCTGGCCTAAAATCATCTGCAGCTACAAAACGAAGCTGATGGCTAGTCCCGGGGCCCTGAGGTAGCCACTCGTCAGGCCCGGCCCTGCCTAGTTCCCAGGGACACCGATGGCACCCCGGCTGCAACACAGCACACCAGCAGTCTAGAAAATGACTGACTTCACTAAGGAGGTTGTTTAACACAGGAAAAAGAGGACTGGGCTGTCATGATCATGCAGCTGGCTGCTCCCGTGCAGGAAGGGCAGCCCCAGATGATGGGGACAACTGCAGAGAAGCAGCCAGGGCTGCACGCAGCGAGGGGGGTGGGCGATGTGCGCTGCCCAGAAAGTGCAACCCAGCAGGTGGCTCTGGTCCCAGCCGCCAGGCCCAGCCTGGGCTCTGCCTGGACATCTGGCCACCAGGCATCCCAAGCTGGCAGTGCAGCTCCCAGGCTCCCCATGGCCCTTCCTGTCACAGTGCCACCTCATCGTCCCTGGGCAGCCACTCCCCTGACCTGACCGTCACCCCCTGACACAATAGGACCTTGTCTCGACAGCAGGCAGATAAGCACGTTTAACTACCCAGACTTGGTGAGGATCCTGCACTTCACTAATGTAGGTTCAAGTAGGAGTGCACCAGGGTACAGAGCCCTGCGTGTCACCTTCGAGACACACGTGCATGCCCACCCCATGATCTGCAGTGGGATATTGGGCCCCACTGGCAGGGTGGGGCCACTGACCAAGCCCAGCCTGGCTCTGCTCAGGGCACACGCTTGTGAGACACCATGACCAGGTCTTCCTCTAGAGACAGAGACTCAGGCCTGGGATTCAGCTCTGCAGCACAGCGCCTGCTTGACAAGTGCAAGGTCCTGAGCTCGATTCCCAGAACCATAAATAAATAAATAAAAATTTAAAAATAAAGATAGAAACTCCCCTGAGGACAGGACCTGGTCCCAGGGAACCTGGGAATGGGCGGTGCCTGCTCCACGGGGAGCACAGACAGCTTTGCTAAATGAGCAATCTTAGAGGGGTTTTTCGGGTTTTGGTTCATTTTGTGTTTGTTTCCTTTTTGGTTTTTCTGAGACAGGGTCTTGCCATGGAGCTCAGGCTGGCATTGAATTCACAGTGATCCTCCTGCCTCAGCCTCCCGAGTGTTAAATGAGTAGTCTGATACCAGGGCCTAGATGCTGCTGCGACACAAAAGCTGGAGAGTTGAGGTCCCCAGCCCTCCCTGCAGCACCAGTAGCCTATGGCAGAGGAGGTCAGCACCTGGAACTGGAAAACAAACAGCTCCACTGCGTGCCCAGGAGGCAGCCGGCAGCATCCTGGGGCAAACTGGCCAGAAATAGCTCTGGAAAATTAAACCCAGGTTTCTGGACAAGCTACCACTGAAGTAACCTAATAAAACAAAATAAAACGTCATCCGTTCTGCTTTGCTTTCAGATCCAGAAGCAGCAGCTACAGAAACAGAGAGCCCTGGCCCTCCTCGATGATGCACACACTCCGGCCACAGCAGGGTGACCCGCTGACCTGTACCAAGCTCCTGGGTGGGGGCTGCACCCCCTGCCCTGGCCCTGGGCTCCTCTGCCTCAGCTGTAAGGCAGCCTGTCCAAAGGTGCACAGGACAGGACCCAGGCTCCCCCTCCATGACCTCCAAACACCACACCCTTGCGTCTCTGGACACTGTCGTCCCCCTCTGCAGAGCACTGTGTGCTGCATTTCCAAGAGTGACCAGAAAGCCTGGCCTGGCACAACCCCAAGGACCAGGCTGCTGACAGTGGGGATCCGCCAGGGTCCTCCACAGGCCAGGCTTCCCCCGGGAAGAGGAACCTGCTCCTGCATCCGGGAGCTCAGAAACCTTGAGGACAGGCAGGAAGGTTAGGCCAGCCTCAAGCCTGCAGTTGTCTGTCACCAGGATGGCTGGGAAGAGCATCCTGAGCTTGTGGCCTTTTCTTCTGCCAACCTGAGGCCTTGAACTCCCAAAGGAGCTAAGAACACCCGTATCAGGCACGCTGCTGGGGGCCCCAAATCCCGGCCAGGCTCAGCGGGCTGGATGCAGGCCACAGAACTCCTGTCCTGGCGCTAACCGGAACGCACTCCTGCTCCCCAGGAAGGGGCCCGTTTTTCACTGGTCCAAGGCCTCCCTGGAGTGGGTAATGAAGAGTGATACACTGGCCCTGCCACCAGCTCTCCAGCCGCCCTCTAATGTGCATAATGGATTTCTGGCAGGGCTGCCTCCTGTTTTGAACATGGTGAAAAATGGATGCTAAACTCTAGGCATGACTTTCAATTTATATACATCAGAGCCGCGAATGTATGTGCTGAAAAGATTCATTTTTCCTGTTTTATAAGTAATTGTGAGCAGATGCTCTTTCACTGATAAAGATAATTTGGCAGCAGTAATTCTGAGGCTGCAATCTCCACCTCACTAGAAACAGGGTGTGCACATAATGATGAGCAGGCACGTGCAATTATTGTCATCTTTCAGCTGAAAAGGCTTCTTTCCCAGAAGCCCCTGTGGCAGGCCTGGCCAGGGACACCAGGACAGGCTGGTCCTGCAAGAAGCAGGAGAGGACCCCTCAGGGCCGGCTGAGCACTTTCCGGGGCGGACTGCACCCACAGAAACTCCTGCCCTGGATGAGAAGTGAGGGTCATGTATGCAAACATGGGGCCCAGGATTTACACTAAACAGGAAAACCCTGTACCCATTCACTTGCTACAGACCTGCTCCGCCAGCCCAGACACTACCCAGACGCATGTGCCAAAGCCAGGGGCGAGCACTCAGGCTGTGACACCTGGCACACAGCTGGCGTCGAGCCCAGTGCCGAGCCAGCACAGGAATGCATCGCACCTGCGCTGGGCTGGGCTGGGCTGGGCACGCAGATTCTCGATGTGGGGCAAGACCTCAGTGCTCTCACCGGGGAGGAAGACGAAAATCAACGAAGCAAGAGAATACAGGGCAGCTGGGCAGCATCAGCCCTGGCTGCTAGGTTTGTTGTGCGCCAGCAGTAAACAGCCGGGCAGTCAGGTCCCAGGCAGACCAGGCCCAGTGGGTCTAGTGCAGTGCGCTTCAGCTACAGCGAGATGGGGCAGGGCAAGGCCGAGGTGTCAGCCCCCACAGAGTCCCAATGAGACCCGGCA